AGACAGATAAGAGACCAAAATAAGAAGAGCATAGGTTGTGAGGTAGGAAGTAGGAGACAGGAAGCCAGTGCAAGACTCCAGGACAGGAGTAATATGATTACAGTTACAACACCCGGTTAGGATTCTGGCTGCCAAAGTTTGCACATACTTGAGTTTGTTCAATGTGGATTCAATATCTGAAACCCACATGGGGTTTGAAGCAAAGCACCTGAGTGATTCTGCACAGATATGACAAAAAGTGTTGTGGTCCATTGTAAGTTGTACTGTAAGTATGATGTTTGGACAGACCCAACACACCACATCTCCCAGTCAGCACCATCTCAACATAACGTATTATGTGGGCAGCATTATGCTATTGGATGGTTCTCCTCAGCATGGACTGAAAATCTTGTTAGGACTGGAGGAAAAATAGGCTGAGCCAACCATAGACAGAATCAACAGGAAGTCCTGTGTCCAACAGTTAGAGACATTAAAATACAATGCAAACCATCAAGCCATTTTGCAGAACAGTAATCCAAAGAACAAGACTAGAGCTACACGGCTTTAAAACTAAGGAACTGAATGTCCTTGAATGGCCTTTGTTAAATTCCTTCCTAGAATTCCAATAAGAATCTTTGGAAAGGGTTGAAAACTGCTGTCCTTAAGTGAACCCCAAGCAGAGAGAGCTTGAACAAATCTGCCAAGAACAATGGCTAAAAATCGCACCAAACCGGTTTGTAAAGATGGTAGAGACTCTCCTGAAAAGGGTTGTGTCTGTAATTGTTGCCCAAGGTGGTTCCACCAAATATTGAGTTCACAAGTGTGGATCATTATGTAACATATTTCAGTATTTTTCTTTTAGTTATGGCAGAAATTTACTGTAACTTACATTAACCATAAAAGCCCTCATTTTGGGCATTAAGATTTTGAATAAAATATTCAGTTTAAAGAAGATGTTAATGATATTGGAGTTTTGCAAAATAGGCCTCTATAGGTTACCATGATACTTCTGCATGGCACATAGTATATGCAGAACTTGTTGCATTGTATTTGCATATGTATTCAGAAATACATACAAAAGTATGATTTCTGATATGCAAACACATGGTGTACACATAATGTCAACTCTGACACACATGCAGATATTGATTATATGATAGCTTAATGGGCTTAGCTGTTCAATTAAGCAAACCAGACTGGAACCTTGAAAGCTACACATATCCAATGGCTACTGGTACTGGCAAATATCCTGGCAGGTTTTGGAATGAAGTAACTTTATTCAGTAGAGATTAACCAAAATTAGTAAAAATATAGATGTCCTAATCCACTGTGATCTAGAAAAGCCCAAGGTCACTACATGGTCTCAAATAAGCCTTAATGAATGTAAACTCATCAGCTTTCAAGCCTCAGCAGAAAAGACTCCAGAAGAAAAGCATAGGTTTGAAAATACCATCCAGAACATGTAATTTCTGACCTTACCATAAAGAGAGCCCTTTGGAAAGATCTCTCTGTCTGTCAAATATGGATTTTATTGTTGATGCAGTTACCTAATGCATAAATGGTGCATGGAAAGTTCTCTAGCCTGTGACTGTGGAATTAGAAACCTAAATTATGGATCACATTGTCACCCTTCCCCCTGTGGAAGATCAAACGTTTTATAGATGTAATGCCTTTCAAAAAGGGCACTAGACTAGCTAATAGAATAGACTAGTTTGATGAGGAACTTTTAGCTTTTGCTTCAAATTAGCCATACCAAAGAAGACCTTGCGAGTATATAATCCAAAAAGAATGTAGAGCTGCTGTAACACTCTGGGGTGCCACAACAATGAAGAACTTGGCATAAGATCATGGGTGGTGCTACATTGTTAATGGCTGGCAGCGCTTTGATTTTTTTTCAAACCATCATAAGTAACAATACTGCCTTCCTGACTATCAGGATTATTTCAGACAAGGAAACCCTTTTTTAGGGCATTATTAAAGTATTATATTAGTGTTTTAAGTTAAGGCCTGGTTTCTGGTGACTGCTTTGAGAACTATGTAAAGTTTGTTTCATTGCGTGTGTCATAAAATATCTGCTGCCAGATTTTGTTTCTTCTGAATACTTTTTCTCTGTTGAGTACATTTTTTTGGGTTTGTTTCCTGAAGACTTATAACCTAAAGCTATTGTCTTTACAGACAATAAATTAACTCTATTTGTGTTCCTGTGAAAGTACAGTATCAGGCAGTTTGTTCTTGGTTGTCTTTTGTGGACAGCAAGGAAATGACCAGAGGTGTTTCACTTGGTTTACTTTTTTTGTTTTGTTTCTAATGTCACAGCACTGTAAGAGAGGTCAAAAAATGAGATGCTCCAGACAGAAGCTACCATATGCTCATGTAATCATGATTTCATGGAAAGCAATGAAATGATAAACTACTGTGGATGTGTCCTTATTATTATTAGCAGTAGTACTAAACAAGTCCCTAAATGAGAATTTAATGTAAGAAAGTTTGAGGGTGGGCGGAAACAAAAAAGCATTATGAGTATTTACAGACTCATGAGTTGTTCATACTGTAAAATGTGTCTAAACTATAGTCTACTCTTCAAAGTGAGCTGCAAGGCCCTTTTACAGAAGTTCACAATGAAGCCAAAATGTCGATTTTTAATTCTGTTTCTAATAAATTTCCACTGTGGAACAACTTTACATTTAATACATAGCTTACCTTCCCCACAGAAAAGGTAGACCTTTGTCAGACAGCATAAGATCCTTTAATCAGGCCAAGTAGCGATTCATTCTTTACTTTTAAAAGGAGACCGGAACTATGGCCTATTAATGGATATTCTCTACACCTATGTCATATTAGCAACAATAAATATTGCGCTGTTTATCAAAAGGTGAAATCCAAGGCGAGCATGAGTCTCTAAAATAAGAAAACGTAGACGAAATTTGCTCATGTTACAAGATCTGTTACCTCAGCATTGATCTGAACAAAAGGGAAACTTGTCCTTGAACGTGGTAGCCGGCCTTTAGTCATTGCATCTTTTTTTGGCAGGATATCGAACAGTGTACAAATTATCTTTGTTTAATCAGCATTCACAAGAACAAAAAATGGGGGAAAAGTGTCAAATAATAAGATCACTGAGTTCATCAGCGCAGGCATTTCCTTCAAGTGCAAGTGTTGAACAAAAAAAGGTACACAAATGAAACTCTAAATGTATATAGTATATATATATAGCTGAGAAATAATACAGTTCATTTATTTTTCTTAACTGTCTGTCCTATGTTTTCTACTATTTTCTCCCGTAGTCACCTCAGTTTTGCTAGATCTATCAAACACACACATTTCTGCAATACGGTTTTTGGCATATTTTAATTAATAATTACTGCCATGAGAATGGAACCATAGCGCTCCAGTGTTTGAAAAGCATAAAAACAAAGCAATAAATTGTAGAGAAAAAAAATATAGCTCTGTGCAATAATTTTAGGTTATTTATTCCAAGAAAATCTGTAGAGTGGTGATGGATTTATTTCTATGAATATGACATTAAAATTCTAGATTTCAGCAACCAAATATAATAATTGGAAATATTTACAGTTAGTATTAATAGTTCACTGCCAATGCCAATGATTTTTCGCACTCTAGTGGCTGCTGGTGGTTTAAACAATGTGTTTTAGGGCTGTTCAAACCCTGGTACCTACCAAGTACTTGCTTACAGATTTAATACACAAATAATAATAATAATAATTATTATTATTATTATTATTATTTTGCTTACTCTTATATAGCGCTTTTCTGGACACTCCACTCAAAGAGCTTTACAGGTAATGGGGACTCCCCTCCACCACCACCAATGTGCAGCATCCACCTGGATGATGCGACGCCAGCCATAGTGCACCAGAACACTCAGAGCAGAGTAATGTAGCCAATTCATTATTAGGGGATTATTAGGAGGCCATGAATGGTAAGGGCCAATGGGAAATTTGGCCAGGACGCTGGGGTTACACCCCTACTCTTTTCGAGAAACGCCCTGGGATTTTTAATGACCACAGAGAGTCAGGACCTCGGTTTTATGTCTCATCCGAAGGACAGCGCCTGTTAACAGTATAGTGTCCCTGTCACTATACTGGGGCATTAGGACCCACATGGACCGCAGGGTGAGCACCCCCTGCTGGCCCCACTAACACCTCTTCCAGCAGCAACCTTAGTTTTTCCCAGGAGGTCTCCCATCCAGGTACTGACCAGGCTCACACCTATTTAGCTTCAGTGGGTTGCCAGTTGTGAGTTGCAGAGTGATATGGCTGCTGGCGATAAATACTGTATGGTACCTCTAAAAGTATAGTACCTCTTTCTTTTCTTGTAATATCGGAAGTTGTGTACCGAATATGTGGTGTCGGAATTCACTGGATGGGCTTGTAATCAGAGGCAACTGCTGATCATGGAGTAAAATCTGTATATTTTATTACATATTCAACAACACATCTGCACTTCCATTCAGCACACAAAAGCAATCAAGGAACCAGCATCATTCCTGAAGACTGCCTACAAATATTCCTGATCATTATCTTTGGAGTCTCTGCAATCAGAAACATGTGCCCAGCTGAAAGCACAGTAACGTTGATCACATCATTATGCATTCCTTTAGTCTTTTAGTCAACATTTCGTACATCATATATGTCAAATGTTCCATTACTGGAAAGTATTTCACAATAAATGCCCTGAGTCTGATTTTAAGTCTAAAAACTAGTGGATTTATTTTTATATATTATTTGTCAAACTGACTGAGTTGTAAGCAGGTAGATGCAAACATTTCTATCTAACTGGGTTCATATTACATACCATCCTAAGCAGATGTTGATATGTTGCAGTTTTTTTGTGCATTTTTGAGTTTCTTTTTCTAACCAATAGAGGTCCCAGGTATTTGGTGCTTATAAGGATTAGTTCTTCTTAGAACTAAACAAGAGAAGAGCTTAAAAGGGCTAGGATCAGACTCTAGAATGGGACATTTTGACAAGTAATATATTTCCCTATTTATTCTTAAACAGGTTGCGTCAAATGTATTCATCAGTGAAGACAGTTCTCACAGCACAGAAGAAAATAAAAGGGTAATTCACCGAGTTAAAAGAAGTCCAAGTAAACGACCTGAAACAGGTATGTGCCTTTAAAGTTTTGTTTATTGAAGTCTGAAATTTGATGTGCTATAATTCAAGTACAGATTAAGCTCTGTGATATTTGAGGTTCTAGCCTGGATCAATGCAGTAGCAACTAGTGACTGGGAGTCTCAAGCAGTGATTCAGAGTTGACACAGGACTTTGTATCTATCAACCAAGATGTACAAAGTCAACCATACTAATGCTAGATAAGAAAATAAATAAGGAACAATGGGAGAGGGCAGTAAATCGAGTACTTATAGGTTAATATGAAAAGCCATATTACTAGAAATAATTATTAATGAGGCTTTTCAACAATGTACACAAATATTTATAAACATTTCATTCCTCCTGAAGAAACAGAATGCATTCAAATACTTACTTACATCCACGGTTTCATCAGTAAGTCGTCTTTGCTTGATTATTCTTGTGGCGTAGTCTGGAGAAAATATCACCAAAAAGACAGAAAAATGGTAATCCATATTGGGAAAGTTTATAATATTTGTTTTGTCCAAATAGTCCATTAAAACTTGTTCAGTTGGAGCCACTTCCTTTTTACAATTGTGTATTTATCCCTTGTTGCAAAAAGTATTTCAATTTAAAATTACAACCTCATAAAGCAATTGGAATATTCTACAGCCGTAGTACAAAAAACATACTTTTAAGCCATTCCATCCTTCTATAATAAATTGCTCTGAAAGCCTCAATTATTTACTAAAATCTTTCAGATTGATTTATTTTATGATTAAACACTTGACCAGCTCTGCTGAACTCTTCCTAGCTGCTTTATTCTTGATGATTCTTTGTGTTCACTTTCTCAGATGTTCTCTCATGTGAGATTCACCTCATCCTTATAAAGCAGTTGACCGATTACTATTGTTACATATTATAACAAAGCAAATGACTGAACACACTCACTGAATAACAGTCAACTAAAACATCTCTAAATAATTAAACCAGGCTAACAACTGTTGGCTACCTAAGAAATAACTGTTTGGAAACATACCCACATAAACATTTCTACAAAGTGTCTCTTGTGTCTAGAAGCAACTCCTATGATATACTAAGCATCTGCAAGCTTGCAGTGACATCAATGAGAGATACACCTCTCCTACAGTTGGTGCTATATCTCCTGTCATATGCTGTATAGCTTGCAGCATGTCAAATGATGAATGGCTCTACAGGTGGTCATGTTGGAGGAGCAACCCTTTTTTGACACAATGGTGCAAACACTTTAATGGTTATTTGAAATGAGAATGGTATTCTCTGGCACTAGGCAGGTTTTGCTTTTTAGAAGTCTTTCGTGACAGTTGAGTCATGCTTTACTTTTGCAAAAGAGCAGTTTCTCAGCTGTTGAAACTGGTCAGAATATCTTAGCTCTACTAAGGACAATGGCACTCCTTTCATGTACTTCCAGTGTTATCTTTGCATGTGAATTGATTTTGTTCCAATTTATAACCTATGACCAGTGGAATGGTAAATGTTAAAAGTTTGTGTAAGAGACTCTCCTCAAGCAGAATGAGAGTATAATCAGTGATGTTTCAGCCAAAGCTGAGAAAGCTATCACGAGTCCATTATCTGCTGCTTTTTCAGATCTGCACACATCATGAAAAGTTGCATGTGTATGTTATTAAAGGAGACTGACAAACACTTTCAGTCCAAGTAAAACAGTGTTATTAGGCCTTAGGGGTATTTATTTGAATAATACCAGATGAGTTTTTTCAACTTAGCACTCTGTTAAAACATTCGAAGTAGATGGACTGTTAAAAGTGTGTTTCATAGCACTCGTGTGCAACTGTTTTGTAACTGAACATGTTCAGAGACCATGAGGAGTCAAGTGTGGGGAGGAATAACTATAAATGTCAGCACCATTTGGCTAGGAAGCAATATCCTTTGGGATTGTCTCCCTGATTGAGTACTTCCCAAATGACAATAGACAGATATCAAGCTGAACACTGCAAAAGATCTGGTTCTGTAATGTATCTCAAAGGAGGGTTTCATTGCTCATACGCATCTTATTACCTACATTTGATGAAGTTTCACCTTGTGGTAATGGTTTGGAAGGGGAGAAATAAAACAGCATGCTTGCTATAAATAAATAGTAGCAAGAAACTGAAGTCTTTTTTTTTCACACAGAATAGTTCATTAATATGGAATTAATGTGGCTTGTAACAGACACATACATTTTCATAATATGTGTCATAGATGCATAGAATACATTGCCAAAGTGCAAAGTACTTAAAGTACGTTAAGTGCCAAAAGTGATAAAGCTGAAATATTTTTAGGTGCAAGACTGAAATCCAGGTGAATACATTTTCGTGGTTTACCTGCCATTGTCTTAAGTCATCATACAGTCCCATAATACCATTTTCTGTTTGGAAGCAAAGTGCCTTTAACCAGTTAAAAAAAAAAACTTGACAATACTCCAGCTCCCTTCCTGAGTGGAGTACAGCTGCAGGGTTTTTTCATTGGATATCCGAAAGCATCTGCATGAATGCCTCTGCCGTTTGTTAGAGTGAATCACTCTGCTTCTTTTTTTCTTTTGTTAGCGCAGTCTGTGATACGCCCATGGCCTGTGCACCCTTGATTCTGGTGGCGCGTGCTTTGTTACTATGCACTGTGTGAACTTGAGAAGCTGTCATATCTGTTGAGATTCTTCTTTACAAGCCAAATGTAGTCGCGGTGGCTCTGGGCATTAAAAAATTTGTGCCTCCTGATTTACATGTTTGAAGGCATGCAGGGTGGGAGTCTGCCATCCCGAGTGCAGAAGAAGCCATATCTTCTGTTCTTCCACTTTAAGATAAAGTGATTCTGCAAGAATGGCTTCCAGTAGCCTAGTGTTTATGAATGGAAGGCTGAACAGAAAGGGCTACATTAGAGGCCATGTTTACACAATTCAACAAAATAGACTTCCAGAACTGTTTTTTTTCCTAGACAGTGACATAATTAGGAATGGTTTCTTCCCTAGGAATGTATCCTAGAACCATATCCATAGGTAAGGTAATCTTTACTAGGTATAACGTAAGAGGTGGAGTAGAAACATATGTACATTTTCATAAATATGGATCAGGCAATAATCCAGAATGTCATTGATATGATACTTACACAATTTTTATGCACTCTATGATGTCAAAGGACATACTATAAAATATTAGTATGTGATTAGTTGTATCACTGTTTAAAATAAAGCTTGTTTCCAATTGGAAGACGTTTTTTAAAATAAGGCACCATAAAATGATAGTTTGGCAGAACCACTGCATTTGCAATTTCTAAAAAGATTTTTAATCCTCCAGAGTATTGACATGAATTCAGTTGTAATATTGTTATTCAGTTATTCATTATTCAGTTGTGATAATGAGAAAAGAGTTTAGTATTTGTTTATTGCGAAGGAAATATCTATTCCCTCTTACAGCCAAGCTGTCATATAGTCTCCTATACTTCATGTTTCCATGGTTTCTGTTTCAAGAACTAATGAAAAAAGAACATTTTCCTTGTGTGACAAAAAGTATTTTGTGTACATAATGCAAAAGTAAATTGTGCACTGCTGCTGCTGTTCCTTTTACTACTACACGTGTATTCCTCTCTTTTTCACAAATTTTAGAAGACTTAAAACATAATTTTGCAAAATTAAGTGTTTAATCCCCCATATATTGTCGGTTTGTTTTCAGAGTTTAATGGGTTGGGAATTCAGATGTTTACTGGCATAAGAGTTTTGCTTACAGTCACTGCCACCCAAGCAAAGTGAAATGAATAACACGCTAATCTTCGGCTTCTGAGGTATATTTCTCATTATCACAGAAGGAAGACCTACCCTCATGTCAAGTTTTTAAGCTGGATAAGAAGCAAATCTGTATCTGAAAATTTCAGGAATCTGTCGGACATATTTGAAATTATTCTATTAAGTCTGTGTTTAATGTTCTTGTCCACTTCAAGAGAGAGGGAAAAATATTCATTGTGGCAAGTACAAACCTGAAATTTATATTAATGGGACTGACATTTTTGGATATTTGAAACTACTGGCCTGTGCGTATTATTTCCAAATGTCATGAAGAAGGTTTTCTAAATCTGGATTTTGAGAGTAATGATAGAAATTACCCTCATGATATTATCAATAGCTGTTGACATCCAGTGATTATGAGCCTTCTTTAGATGCATTTACACTGTCATAAGTCTTTCACAGTTTCATTTTCAGATTTAGAAGAACATACTCTGAGGTTATCCCAAAGCTAAATTGTTCAATTAAAGATGCAAACTGCAGTGAAGCTGTAAATCATGGTGATGTCTACTTCCATAAATTCATCTAGGGATATAAATGTGCAGGTTACAGCAGGACTTTACACTGCTGCCTCTGAGATGTCAGTGTAATTGCCAAACCCTGATAACCGGTAAGATGTTTTTGGTATTTCATATGGGTGTCAGGGGAAGAAGAATAAAAAAGCTACCATAGTGCTAACAGATGCATACAACTCTAGTACAGCAGATTACAAAGGAAATGCAATATCTGAAATACATCAAGAAATTCTTGGCTAGGAGATGAAACTCCTTTACTTGTGCATGCCAGATTGAAATGCTAGTCTGATTTAAAATTAAATTAGGTTACCATATGTTCAAAGCAGTGAGAATGAACCATACTATAAAAGAACTGGAAAACAAATCACTATAAAATAAAGGGTTAAAATCTGTATCTTTTAATATGTATTCTGTTTAAACATTTCATTAGCCAAAGACCAAGATAGGCAAATTCAGAAATTAGGTAAAATAACACTACAAGAACTTAAACTGATGCTGCCTAACATGGACTACAGTATATGGGCTTCTGTTTGGAGAATAATAGCAGAAAATCAACATTAATGATACATTTCTGTATTTTTTTATTAATAACAGATAGGTTAATATATACCAAGTTTCAAAAGAAACATTACTTAGTATGTCTTTTTAGAAAAATAAAGTGTGGCACAATTCTGATTAGTTAATCAATTGTGGCTGACAATTGTAAAATTGAGAGACATTGCCGCACATGCAATAAAATACCCCATTAGTGAGAGGTTTGCTTAACAGCTGGTGTAACCTGTTAAATTAAATGCTTGGTGAAAATCAAGAAAACACAACACAAAAAACAGACAAGCTTGCCATTTGGAATATTCACAGAAAATGTCATATTATATACATTTCTATGTATTTTTTATCAGACAAAAGATAGCAGCCACAGCCTATCATTGAGATCTCATCAAGTTCAATGAGGAGGTCCAGGTTTGATGGGTTGAGCAGGTGTATCTTGTCTAGTTGCTAGAGACTGCATGGCAGTCTGTACTGGGACCTCAATTGCCATCCTTCCTGCAGGCTCAGTAGTCTAACATGACCCACAAGACAACACATCCTTATTTTACTCATGTAACAGTGGCTTTCTTACTAGGCACCAGACTTGGGCCCCGTTGAACA